CAAACCACAGTTGCCCGTGTGGGAGTTCAGCACCTTAACCACTACACCACCTGTTGGCCCTGCGAAATCATTTCTTTTTAAATTATTATTTATTTAATTTTATGAATTAGTAGTAGTAGTAGTAGTGGTTTGTTCACTATAGTGCACATGCACTCACCAGAGGGAGGCGGCAGACAGAGAGAGAAGGAGAGAGAGAAGGAAAGTGGGAAAGCAAGCCACCAGGTCCGGCACTTAAATTGTGGCCGGCTGGGTGGGGGTCCAGTGCCTTAACCACCATGCCCTTCTTCCCGCCGCTCCCCCGTGAGATCATTTTAAACGTGCACAAAAGTTGCAAGAATTCATAGCTATCACCCACATCCGCCAGTTCAGTAACATTTTGTCATTCTTGTTTCATTACTTGCTCTCATAGTACTTTTTTTAGAGAGAGATTTTTGTTATAGGGCGCATGCACTCGCTGAAGAGATGGAGACAGAAAGCGAGAAATCACCCCCCAGAGGGGACATCCATGCCGCAGTTCCTTCTCCTCCATTCTCCTCTCCAGATTTTGAGCACACATACGCACACACACGTCCCAGCATGAGTTTTAAGCCGCCAGGTCCCGGACTCAGACCGCAGTTGACTATGTGGGAGTCTAGCGATATAACCATTGCATCATTTGCTGGTCCCAGTTGTTATTATTTTTATTAGAAAGATTTTTGCTATAGGGTACTTGCGCTCGCCAGAAAGAGAAAGACAGAGACCGGAAGTGAGAAACCATGCCCCGGTCCCTTCTCCTCCATCCTCCTCTAGAGGTTTTCGGCATGCACGCACACATGTTCAGCGTGAGTTTCAAGCTGCTGGGTCCAGGACTCAAACCGCAGTTCCAGGGATTCCAGTGACATAACCATTAAGCCATCTGCTGATCCCAGTGATTTCTTTTATAACATAATTTTACATTTGAGTTTTTCATCTGGTAGATTTCCAGATAAGGTGAAATTGTATAGTCACACACTTTCTCCAGGTTTTGACTTTTTATTCTTTTATTTTTTTCTTCAAAGAACCCATCAGAATTATTTGAACTTCAAGAAGATGAAGCACTACGAAGGTAATCTCTTCCTTTACTTACATTTGTCTATGTCTTCATGCACACCAGAGTCAGGAATCTTAACAGTATATTTTCAGATGGCTTTTTTTTAGAATTCTTTTTTAAATTATTTATGTAGTTAATTCTATTTGTTATTATTAGTTTTTAATTTGACGAGAGAAAGTGAGAAAACGAGCCACCAGGTCCAGGGCTTGAACCACGGTTGGCCATGTGGGAATTCAGCTCCTTTAACCAGCACTCCACCTGCCTGCCTGCCCCCAGAGGTTGGTTTTTAAAGTCTTTTTTTTTTTGCCATAAGGTGTATGTGGAAGAAAAGTGAGAAATCATCCTTCAGGGAGGTGCTCACCAGAGGGAAGAAAAGTGAGAAATCATCCTTCAGGGAGAACAGCCATGCCTACTATCCCTTCTCCATTTTTCTCTCGGGATTTTAGGCACACCTGCCAGGTGTGATTTTCAAGTTACCAGGTCTGGGACCCAAACCATGGTGGTCCATGTGGCAGTCTACTGCTCTAACCACCATGCCACTTCCTGGCTCCAAAGGCATTCTTAGTATAACCTAGGCCAGAGTGGCTGAGAAGAATCAGTTCATTGATCTGTGGCCATGAGGGTCTCTGGGAGCGAAGGTCAGAGACAGCCCAGATCCGGTCTCTGAGCTCTGAGTGAGTACCTCTGAATGTTGAGGGTTCCTCCTGGACCGCCTCCAGCAGAGCGTATCTCAAGCTAGGGACGTTCTGTTAGCTGGGACTCGGCCCCGGGGTGTTCTCTGGGGGGTTCAGATGTGGGCCACCAGATTCCTATTTGCCCACTGACCCTACACTGATACCAAGATAGGCATGTTGGTCTCGTCTGCTGTGCCAAGTCTGGCCGCTCCTGGCTTATCTGACTGCCTGTGCTCCAGTCAGAGAGAATGTGGTAACCCACTAATGATGCTTGGCGCAGGCTCGGCAGGGAGAGGCGTGGTGGCACGCATGCCAGCTTTTTGTCATTCCTGGCCTAGACCAAAAGTAGGTCAAGTGGCCTGGGAGGCCCTGAACCCCACTTCGACTTTAAAGATCTGATAGTGAGAAAAGATGCAGAAAGACAAACCCAAGGAAAGAATTTCTCCCCGGGGCCAGCAGGTGGCGTGGTGGTTAAGGCACTGGACACTCCCTCATGGCAAACCACAGTTTGAGTCCTGGACCTGGTGGCTTGCTTTCTTACTTCCCCCGCACTGTCTCTCTCTCTCTGGTCAAATTAAAATAAATGAATAAGTAAATAAAATTAAATTAATAAATATATGTTTCGTTTTGTTTTTTAATAATTTCTCCTGGTCCGGAGCAGAACTGACCTGACCACCCACTTACCCCATTTTCCCTCTGGACCCCACCCCGTCTTTATTTAGTCTTTTAAGAGCAGATGCACCTTAGTCGGAGCCAGAGGTAATACGTGAGGGGCCCACCTGAACCGGCCTGGTGGGAAGGCTTAGATGGAGCCACTCAGAGCGAGAAGGGAAGTTCCCAGAACATGCTATATGCAAAGTGTGTAACTCCTGCCTTTCCCACTGCAAGCTCCCCATGGGCTCACCAACCTGCCTGACCCATCTGCCCTACCCTGGGAGGGCCAGCCCTGAGTCTGGAAGTTGAAACGTGCTACTAACAAGGCCCTGGGTTCTAAAACTCAGATCTCCCCTCTACTTAGCATTCAATATATTTTATAGCTACTGTTCATGTCAATCGCGTAAGTAGAGAGAGGCTGGTTATCAGAGGAGGCCGAGGCCTGGAGTCTGTTGTGTGTGTGAAGGGGCTCAAGAGATGATCAAATGTCCCTCAACAGGAAAACCAAACAGCCTGTGTATGAGAGGCCCGAGGACTTTCCTCTTTGGTAATCTATTACTAGGTTAAACAATAAACGTCATTGGTTTTTTTCTCCCCAGAGTCTTCTATCTTCTTCTGTCTTACCCGATCGACTACAGTTCAAGAATGCTGTTCGTATTCGCAACGTCGGCTACAAGCGTAAGCTCTCCAAACTTAACCAAAGCTTGTCTAGGTGTCTTAGCTTAGTATTCTTCCTGCTGTTTGCTATGTCCGATTTTATTAGCAGATGACCCAGCACTCATTTAGTCAAACGCCTGGCCTACTTTGTAAACACGGGTTGTGATCGCCCTCGTCCTCGTCCTCGCTCTGCTCAGTGCTGGCCTGTGGAACACCCGCTTAGCGCTGAGCAGCGCACCTGCCCACAGTCCCCACAGGTCGTCTGCATGCACAGGTGTATTCACGCCCTGCTCAGTCCGCATTCCTGACACCAGGGGACCAGACAAACTGGCCCAAGAGCAGCTCCATGGGACCTGGAGTCCCAGTGTAATGTCCTCCTGGCCCATTTGCGACACCCCCCTCTACTGTCTAAACAAACCAGACTCCACTTCCTCTTTCTCCTAAATGCTGCCGGACCTCTGAGGCTGGTGATGGAACAGAGGCTGAGGAAGGGCTGGAGCAGCAGGCTCTGGAGAGAAGGGAGGAGAGCGAGGAAGTCTGGCACACTGGCTCTTCTCTCTGTGTTCCTTTTAGTTGCCAAAGGGAGCACGCACTAACCAGAGAGGGAGGAAGCACCCTAGTGGGGTGTGGTCACGTCATAATTCCTCCCCCATTTCTCTTTCCTATTTGGATCTGAGGTACACATGTGTGCCTACATGGTTTTTAAGCCACCGGGGTCAGGATTTGAACCACAGTTGGCCATATGGGATCTGGCTCCTTTGACCACTAAGCTGTGAGGCTGACCCCTAACATGGTGATTCTAAGTCCACGACAGGAAGAAAGCAAAATCCTTTTCCTTTCCATATTAATTTGCCTTGCAGTCATTCTTTCAAGTAAAAATGGTGTTCCATGCAAAGTCAACCACATGGGATCCAGCGATGTAGCCATTATGCCAACTGCTGGTCCCATCTTAGAATTATTATGAAAACAGTGGCCCTCTCTCTCCTGCAGGAGCGTCCAGGATGTCCTCCGGGGCTCCGTGGATTGATGGCCTGTTGGGAACTTCTGTTCTGCAGGGTGCGCTCCTTAAGGGCAGAGATCGACTCGACTTTTTTTTAGTTGTGTTGTTTTTGTGGTCACTGTTGAGGCTCATTTACCCAACTGTAACTGCGGGTGTGCGCCCCCCGCCCCTCCTGGTTTTGCAGACGTTAGGCACGCGTCAGTTAACGTACGCCCACCGAGCCCGGGCGCTTCAGTGTCTCCTCCACCTGGCTGACAAGGAAACTGTAGAATCGCTCTTCAAAAAGCCCCTCGAAGAAGTGAAGTAAGTAGACTTGTATTAACAGTGCCGAGAAATCCTAAACGAGCCCAGTGCAGTGGCACACTCCTGTGTCTCCAACTACTTCAAGGCTGAGACAAGGAGGGTCATGAGTTCGAGGCCAGCCTGAGCAACATAGTGAGAATCTGTCTCCAAAAAAAAAAAAAAGAAAGAAAGAAATAGGATACATATTATTGGGGGGGGAGGGTTAGCCCCATTCATTTATAAGTGCATTGGAGGAACTATGTAAATATAGTTCCATTACCCTGAATATCTCTGACTTTTTGGCTAAAAGGAAAGAAAGAAACCTTTCAGACCTTGTTTCCATCGGTTTTTAGAGACATTTAGAAACAATGTTTTCCTCTTTCTCAGAATGGTTTATCTAATTGTATATTCACTGGGTATAGTTAGAAGCCTTTAATGGGCATTTAAAAACAAACGGGTTAATATTTCCATATCACGACTTTTGTTTTCTATGTAAACTTGGCCTATGAGAATGATTCTTACCAAAGCCTCTGTTTTCCAGATCTTATTTGAAATGTATAACTTTTCTGGCATCATTTGAGACTTTGAATATCCCTATCACATACGAGTTGTTTTGCAACAGCCCTAAGGAAGGTATGATTAAGGGCCTGTGGAGAAACCACAGTCATGAGTCCATGGTACGTACACTGGGCCTTCGGGGGCTGGCCATCTTCTCACAAGCTCTTCACGCTGGTACCTGCCACCACCCCAGTGCCTGGGAAAAACCAAACACAGTGAAACCCTTCTTTTAGAGAGAGATTTTTGCTATAGGGCCTGTGTGCTCACTGGAGAGACAGAAAGCAAGAAATCACCCCCCAGGGGGGATGGCCACACCGCAGTCTCTTCTCCTCCATTCTCCTCTTGGGATTTTGGGCATGCGTGCACACACCCAGCATGGCTTTGAAGCCACCAGGTCCAGGACTCAAACCATGGTTGACTATGTGGGAGTCCAGCGACGTAACCATTACACCATCTGCTAGTCCCGAGGAACCCTTAAAAAATGTTACTTTTATGCACATGTGAGAGAGATGAGTGCCTTCCCAGGCCTGGCCATGCCACAGTTCCCTTCCATTGGTCCGAAGGCTGTCTGATCTGAGGCACCTGTGTGAGCACCTGTGTGTGTGAATCCCTGCACGTGTGAGCACCTGTGTGTGTGAATCCCTGCACATGTGAGCACCTGTGTGCGTGAGCGCCTGCGTGTGTGAGTGCCTGTGTGCCCGAATCCCTGCATGTTAGAGCACCTGCGTGTGTGAGTCCCTGCACATGTGAGCCCCTGCACATGTGAGCACCTGTGTGTGTGAATCCCTGCACGTGTGAGCACCTGTGTGTGTGAATCCCTGCACGTGTGAGCACCTGTGTGTTTCAGCTGACCCAGCTGGGACTCGAGCCCTCATCCCTCGGTGGGGGATCTGGCTTCTCTCGAGCAGCACGTTACCTCTGTACTGTGGACCTAGTAGCCCAGACTCTGTCCCCAAACAAGGCTACTGCTCTGAGGCCCTTTCTACTTGCCTAGCCTGGTGGGTGGGTGGGTGGGAAAGGCAACGGGAGGTCCTCTTACCTCTTCCCGAAAGCCCAGACCTCGAGTCCCCGACCCGGCAACAGCACTTGTAGAGCTTCTCCCGCAGCCTGTCTCTGCTCACTTGCTGTCCCGTACCAGGAAGTGGGATGTCTCTCTCCCTGTTCTGGGAGTGCAGTCTTCCACAGGGGCCCTGGGGCGGGACGGAGATGGGACAACTGTCAGGCTGTTTTTCTTTTTTTTTTTTTTTAATTTAATTTTGTTTTATTTATTTTTATTGTTTTTTTTAAGTTGACCAGAAAGAGAGGAATAAGAAAGCAAGCCGCCAGGTCTAGCACGCGAACCATGGTTGTCCATGTGGGAGTCCAGTGCCTTGACCACCAGGCCACCTACCAACCCCTAGGCAGACCGTTCTTCTTCTTCTTCTTTTTTTTTTTTTTGAGAGATTTTTGCTATAGGGTGTGTGTGCTCACCAGAAAGAGAGAGACAGAGAGACAGAAAGTGAGAAATCCCCCCCCCCCCCAGGGGATGGCCGTGCCACAACCCCTTCTCCATTCTCCTCTCGGGATCTTGGGCACGCACGCACACATGCCCAACGTGAGTTTAAGCCACTGGGTCCGGGACTTGAACCGTGGTTGACTACATGGGAGTCCAGTGATGTAGGCATTACACCAACTGCTGGTCCCCCCCAGGCAGACCGTTCTTACACAGAGGAGGAGGAATCCTGAGGTGTTGTCTGCGAGCCCATGACAGCAAGGGAAGAGTGATCTCTCTTGTTTCTACCATTAAAAAGATGGGAGCCGTCACTGAAAGTGGGCGGTGGCTTTCCCAGATGAGCGTGCTCTGTAGTCAGCTGTGCAGCTTTTTCCGCAGGGCCTCTGATTGAATGGTACCTGAAGTGGCATGATTTTCTTTTCTTTTTCTCCTCGTTGGTGTCAGGCGGTGAGACTGGTGGCTGAGCTTTGTTTAGAGTACAAAATCTATGACCTGCAGCTTTGGAATGGACTCCTGCAAAAGCTTCTTGGCTTCAGTATGGTAAGAACGACCAGTGCCCTATACCGGTGGCTTGAAAGCTCCGACGGGTCCCCTGAACTGCGCTCACTGACACGTGCTGAGCCGACGTGAGCCAACGCGAGCCGACGCTGCACTCCGCTGGGCTCAGGTCAAGCGTAAGAACTGGCCCTGGGCCAGAGCGAGTGCAGACCCAGGAATGACATAACTGCCCCGGAAACAAATGGAAGGCCCCTGGTCTTTTGTGATGCTTGCGAACTTGGACGTGCACGTCTCCTGAAGCTTTCAGAATCCAGCTTTTCATGTTGAAATGTTCCATTTTGGTGGTCTCTAGAACTTAATTATTTTTTTTACAGATTCCTTACCTAAGGAAAGTGCTAACAGCCATTTCCAGTGTCCATTCTTTATGGCAGGTATGTAGTTTAAGAAAACGTTATTGAAGTTACTCTGAGGCCTGCTAGCCCCTGACTGCTGGGTCCACTGGGCCAAGCTGTCAGCTTCCCAGTCCAGAACAAAACTGCCTGATATTCCAGGAGAGTGTGTCTGGACTCGGGGCACTAGACATCGCGTTCCTAGGTCCCCAGGCTCATAAGTCACGTTAGGCTAGCGTTTGTCACGGTGTCACCTCATTATACACTGGCCTGCCGCTTGTAGATTTTAAACATCTCCAAAGTCAGAGACCATGTGCTTTCTAAGCTTCACAAGTTGTACATTCCATGGTCATTATTATGTATTTTATAGAAATGTGCAGATTTAGGGCTGGCAGGTGGCGTGGTGGTTAAGGTGCTGGACTCCCAACTTGGCCGACCATGGTTTGAGTCCTAGACCTGGCAGCTTGCTTTCTCACTTTCTTTTTCTCTCTCTGGTCAACTCCAAAAAAAAAAAATAAATAAAATAATGACAATGAATAAAATTAAATTAAATAATTCTTTTAAAAAAGGGAAATGTTCAGTTTCTTCATTGTTTAATGAATTTGAATGATAGAAGAACATGCAGAGTAAAACATGAAAATTCTCCTTTATTTCACTTCATAATCATCTTCCCAGAAGTAACTACTATTGACAATTTCTTATGTCTCCTTCTAGAACATTCCTGTTACACAAGCATGCATACATGTGGGCCTGCACTTACCAGAGAGAAACAGGTGTGAGGGTGGGGACACCCCCTCAGTGGGGGCATGGTCGCACTGCAGTCCTGCCTCCATTTTTCCATCCCGTCAGGGCCACGCACACACATGTACAGATGTGTCTTTCAAGGCCCTGGGGCCGGGATTCGAACCATGGCTGGGCATGTGGGGGGGTCCAGCTTCCTTTCCGTTAGGCTACTGGGCCAGCCCAAAGCACTGCTGATGGAAGATTATGTTCTTTCTTTCTCCACTTCGTTGGATGTCTTTCTCTCACCTCCTTCCCCGTTCCCGCGGCCCTGACAGTGTGCCTGGCGTGTGGCAGGCCTTGTTCATTCTCCCTCGGGCTCTGACACTGCAGAGTGAACCGCAGTGGATCAGCCAGGACGCTACCCTGAGTTCTGAAAATAGTCAGTACATAGAAAATGACCCTAGAACGTTCGTCATCTCAGACATAGCAGCTCATGACTGTGGTCTCAGCGCCCAGGCTTTAAACGGAGTTTTGTGCCCGTTAAGTAAAGTTCGCAATATCCCAAACACGAGTTCTTCAATCGCCTTGTTCCCACAGGTCCCCTACTTCAGCAAAGCGTGGCAGCGTGTGATACAGCTACCGCTCCTGTCAGGTACTTTTCTCCCCTCCGCAACCTCGGCAGCATTTGCAGTCCAGAGTGCGTGCATCATTGTTGCTTTTCATTGCAGCCTCTTGTCCTTTGAGCCCCGGCCAGTTATCCGACTGTCGTGAGAGTCTCGTCGCTGTCTTAGAGTAAGTCAACTCTTTGTTTTCCTGGCAGAAGAATAGAATGTGTTCCTTATAAAGTTCCTTTCTAATAGACACCTCTTAACGTTTGTTTCTATAACAAGATATCTCTACTATTATTACTATCATTATTATTTTAGTTTTTTGCTATAGGGCATGTGTGCTCAACAGAGTGAGAGAGAGACAGGGAGAAAGTGAGAAATCACCCCCAGGGAAATGGCCACACCACCATCCCTTCTCCTCCATTCTCTTCCTTGGGATTTTGAGCAAGCACATACATACACCTGGTGAGATTTCAAGCTGCCAGGTTGGGGACTTGACCCACAGTTGGCCAGGTGGGAGTCCTGCACCTTAATCACTATACCACCTGCCAGCCCCTGTGACTCCCTTAAATCATACAGTTATGCCTCGTAGATTTTAGTGTTCTGAGAATTTCTCTTTTGGCATTCACGGCTTCCCGGCACAGTCATAGTAGCAAACGACAGTCTGCATCCCTGCAGGCAGGCACCTTTGCCACGTGGCATGCCACCCACGGGACGGACAGTTATTAACTCATCAGTGTGCTCTCTCTCGAAGGTGTCCGGTCTCAGATGATCTCGACATGATCGGAGTCGCCAGGCAGTATGTCCAGCTAGAGCTTCCGGCCTTTGCACTGGCTTGTCTGATGCTCATGCCCCACTCAGAAAAGAGACACCAGCAAATCAAGGTATCTCACACCTCATTCCTCTGGGGCCCCCCGGGGACAGGCGCTCCCTCTGCATGTCCCTGATATGGTTGTGTCTTTTCACCAAACCCGTAAAGCATCCTCAGTGTGAGGGAGGAAGGACGTTTGTGCGGGGGCTTCGTGGGCAATGAGACAGAAAGATTCAGGTCCCGCTGACTGGTGTCTTCAAAGGGGTTTGGACCTTATTCGTTTATCAGTGGGGAGTGATTGACTTTCTTGGAAAGAGTCAAGTGAAATGACAGCAGTGGTATTTTAGACGGGCTAAGCTGTTAACCCACGTGGGCTTGATCAGAGGAGAGAGGCGCCAGGAGAGGGAGCTCAGGAAGCTGTCGCATCTGCTAAGCAGTTTCTCTCACTTTTCCCCTGCGGGCAGCCTTGTGGGTAAGCAGGAAAGCTGAGGGGAAGTACCCAAGGGAGGCGGGTGCTGATGACGCTCGAGCTGAGCGGGATGCCTGACTCAGCGACAGGGTGTGGGAGACAGAGGACGAGAGGCAGATTTTGTGTGTGGGTGCCCAACAAAAAGGAGCCCCGAACATTCCGAGGATAGAGCTTTTAAAAATAACTAACTCTCACTTCTTGTATTGTGTGAATAAATAGAAGAAAGGGTTTTTTTCTTTTGATTTACATTTCATCTTTGTACGTCTTTACAGCGTAGGGTACGGGTCCTCAGAGCACACATGCCCTGCCTGGCAGGCAAGCCACAGATATGCCGTGCCCCATAGCTGTCCGTGCTAGTGTCTGTTAAACGCCTCTCCCAGCTCAGAACTGGTTTTGGGAATGTTCTAGTCACTTCCCCCACTAGATACGTGAGCAGAGGTCGATACAAACACACATGCGTATTTTCGGCAGTTGGTCTATTAATGGGATTCTTTTTCAAAGCCATCTGTGCTCTTGTCTTTGCCTTTTCTTTTTCTTTTTTGATTATTCATAAATTCATCCCTTGTTCTTTTCGGAATCTCAGGACTTAAATAAATTCTTCTTGGCACTTCGAACGACAAAATGCCTGCTAAACAGCACTTACTGTTTACAAAACGCTGTTTTTTTTCCTCATATTCTTCATAAATGTTCGTAAAAGTGTTTTTTGTTCATAAAAGTGTTTTTCCTATAGTTGGAATTTTTTAAGATAGTTCTAATTGAAAAATAAAAGACATCCCAGACATGACAGGAATTAAGAGAAGACATACCTTTCCGTTTATCATGCTTTTTCTCTAGAACTTTCTGGGCTCCTGCGACCCCCAGACTGTGCTACAGCAGTTGGAAGAGCACATGAGTGCCGGCCAGCTGGCGGGGTTTTCACATCAGGTAAGAGCAGTCTCTCCTCCCGTGGAAACTTCGTACTCGAAGGCCATCGCTTTCCCTAAACCCAGACTGAGAACCATGGTTTCTAGCTGCTTATTAATATACAAAACTATGTTGCTTTTATTAAAACCTCAGTACAATTTTTTTTAATTTGTTATAAAATGTGCACTTGCCAGAGAAAGACACAAAGAGAAAGAGGGAGAGTGAGGAAGCACCCCCCCTGGGGTGGCCATGCCAGAGTCACTTCTCCTCCATTCTCCTCCTGGGATTTGGGGCACACACGCACACACCCTCCATATGCTTTTCAAGCCCTCCGGTCGGGGACTTGAACCCCAGAGTTGGTCATGTGGGATCCAGCCACTTTAACCGCTGTACCACTGGCTGGCCCTCAGGAGATGTTTTAAAGGGAAGGAACCCTGACTGTCTCGTCTACTGCTGTGCTCATTAGGAAATGTGTAACCGTTCTTATAAAATGTCTCAAAGTGCTTAGCAACAACTGCTTTTTTAAAAGAGGTTTTTTTTGCCTTAGTGCATGTGTGCTTGCTGGGGAGGGAGGGAGAGACAGAGACAGTGAGAGGAAAAGTGAGAAATCACACCCCAGGGGTGCCGGCCATGCCGCCATCCCTTCTCCTCCATTCTGCTTCTGGGATCTTGAACAAGCACACATATGCGCCCGGTATGAGTTTCAGGCCGCTGAGTCCAGGACTCGAACCATAGTCGGCCATGTGGGAGTCCAGCAACATAACTGCTATGCCATCTGCTGGCCCTCAAGTTGCTTTTTATTTATTAACTATATTCTGAAATAGGTCAAAGCCACTTCTCCATTCTCTTGGCCACCTCTCAAAAGGGAGGCCTGGTCATAAGACAAGTGTGGTCCAACTCCCGATGGTCAGAAACCTCACGGTATTGAACAAGGGTTTGGGACCTAACACATTTTGATGTAGTTGTGCCTGTCGTCCTATAGGTTAGAAATCTGATCCTGAATAACATCATAAATAAGAAGGAGTTTGGTGTTTTGGCAAAGACAAAATACTTCGAAGTGTTGAAATTGCACACGATAAATACCAACAACGTCAGGGAACTAGTAAACTATTTGGCAAATGACTTAAGGTAAGTTAATTAAAAAACACAAAACCTTACTGTAGAATTTCCTTAACATTTATTTCTACGTTGAAGGGAAATGTCAACCAATTGTAGAGCTGTTTTGTTGTCACTGAAAGTGCCATATATGAAGTGTAGCCCAGAGGCTGGTAGTCTTGTAACCCAGTCCTTCGGAGCATGAACTCGGAACCAGACAGTTAAGCGGGCCGTCTGAATTGCCAGAGTCCTGTTCTAAGCCCCAAATTACAACTGTGTCCCTTACACATTTGCACAGAGCGTCGATGACTTAATTTTCACCAAGACTGGTTATTTAGTTTTCCATCACACACACATTTAGGAGCAATCAACTTCTTGGGATAGAGCCAGGGGACAGACTGGGAAGATGAGAAGGGGTAGGAAGAAGTGGGCTGACACTGAGAGGGAAAGCCACGTTGACCGGATCCGTCCCTGCACCGGGTCTCGCTGGCCCGATCGCTGGGAAGGCAGCCGTCTCCCGTCACCACACATGGCTTTCTTTCAGCCCGCTATCACTGGTAATCCAGCCGTAATGACAAATTGTCACTTGATGAGTATTTATTTAACTCTATTTCTACTGTGAGAGACAGGCAGAGAGACAGGCTCCCCTGACAGGGTCCTTTTGCCCCAATCGATAACCACCCCAGCCACAGCTGGCCGGATTGTGGCCACAAATGTGAACTGGGAAGGCAGCCGTCTCCCGTCACCACACATGGCTTTCTTTCAGCCCGCTATCACTGGTAATCCAGCCGTAATGACAAATTGTCACTTGATGAGTATTTATTTAACTCTATTTCTACTGTGAGAGAGACAGGCAGAGAGACAGGCTCCCCTGACAGGGTCCTTTTGCCCCAATCGATACCCACCCCAGCCACAGCTGGCCGGATTGTGGACACACATGTGCACATCCAGTGTACACAGGAAGTCCTGAGACACAAGCCCAGGACCTTCCCTGTGCGCGTCCCTTGGCCTTACCACTCCAGCACCCCCAATGTGTGATGAGCGGCACCTGCCTGACACACAGTTCGCTGACTTTGGGCCTGAGTGCACACCTGGGAAGCCTCGCCACATCCAGACGGGGAGCACATTTATCACTGTCAGATTTCCCTCATGCCCTCTTTCCTTCCTGATCCCATAGTGTAGATGAAGCCTCAGTCTTGATAACCGAATATTCCAAACACCGTGGCAGACCCGTGCCGCCCGACGCCGCGCCCTGCGAGATCCTGAAGGTAACGCTGCTGATGGCTACTCAGGTCCCCCGCGCTGCCTAGATTTGTATATTTTACGTTTTGTGATAGAGGTCTAAACCAGAATCCAGGAGGCCATGGTTCTGGTCCCAGCTCTTCACTGGGCGGGCAAGCGACCTGACAAGGGGCTTTAGTGGTGTGGGCTTTAACCGTCAGGAGGGCAGGGATCTCCCAGGTGCTCACCTGGATGCAGGTTCCACAGGAGGTGGTGTGAACACTGAAGCGAATAAAAACGACATTTGGGAAGGGGTCAGTTATTATCTTGCTGAGCTAGTCGTTCTCCTCCCATCTTCCTTTCGTAATTAGCTAAGACACAAGAGGGCTTCCAAAAGTTTATAGACGTTCTCCCATCTTCCTTTCGTAATTAGACACAAGAGGGCTTCCAAAAGTTTATAGAAAAAGTAAACGTGTACCTTAATTCCATTTATCCACAACCTTGTTTATATTCACACGGAAAATAGAGAATTATGAAGAGGGGAAACAAAAGAAATCGATCTGAAATATCACCACCCACAGACAGGATCTCTGCTTGGCCTATCCAGAGTGGCTTCTGTTTTTCTGGCTGGCCACCGCATATCTGTTGCTGCATGTCCTTCCACATCTTTTTGTCTATAAAATATGCACATCAATTACGTTTACTCTCGGCCAGCTCGGGGTGTGGGGTTGGGGCAGTTAGGTCCCTCATGGCCTCCTGCACGGTCCCAGTCTTGGATCTGGTGGCTTCAGAAGCACACCAGGCACCATGTGTGTACCCAGAATCCTCAAAGGGGAGGGGGACGGAGGAGGTGGGATGGTGGCATGGCCGTCCCCCACGGGGACGTGTCTCTCTGTGGCCAGCACATATGCCCTCTGGCAAATTAAAAATAAAAACTTTTGCTCCTCTTTTGAATTTAGGTATAAGGTAAAGTTTTTATTTTAATTCCACCTTGGTATTTTCAGTAAACCTGATTATTGTGCTCTTCGTTCCTCCTGTGGTCAGACCGGACATGTTCAAATAGCCCGCTTTTCGCTCACTCCCATCAGTGACGCGGGAGTGCACTGCCAGTCGGTTGTGCTTAGCTGCATACGTTACTGTTTTCAGAAAGGGAGACTATTGATTCAGGAGACAAATGTATGGCTCTTAAAATATATTGGTTTCTCTCTAATCATAGCTGTGTAAAATCCCAAATAACTATATATAGATTTTTGTGACCACTGTTAAGTTTCAGGTTCTATAATTTGACCACTTTCTGTTTTTAAAAGTCAGTGACACTAATAAAAAAAATGCTTCTCTGTTTCTTCCCATTTAGATGTTTCTTAGTGGATTATAGTAAATTGCGGACCCTTTTGTGAAGGACAAGAGGAAGCGTGGAGTCTACTCTAAATGACCATATTTATTCTAGTTTTAAGTTATGTAATCTATGTTAGAGCTAGTTGTCTAATTGTTTTCCCACGATTAATAACTAAATGCTCAGTATAACGTAATTGCCCCATTAAAAACGTATGTCTTGAATGAATAAGTCTTTTCACTCCTGGTTACTTGTATAACTTACAGACTACCAGCTGGTTGCACCATGCATGAGAGACGAAACGCAAACCGTTTGCTCTCCCCCTCAAGAAAAGCATCTCCTTGTATCCTATTCCTTTCATATATTAAAATATCGGTCGTTCTAAAACATTCTACATAAATATTTATATAATTTTAGTGACAGAATGCGTCAGTCCGTGGCCAGTCAGGAAAATGGAAACCGCTCTGGATATGCCTAGCAGAGATCTAATCCCAGGGGTTGGTTATAAAAATATGAAAGGATCGCAAGAACGGAAGAGATTAGGGAGGAAGAAGCTAGAGAACAGGGAAGGGGTTGTCATCTGAAGACCTGGACCAGCTCCTGCCCCAGTGTTAAGCCCACCTCTGCCACGGAGCTGTGGGGGCTGCCAGTGCAGAGGAGTCAGAGTCTCCACCCACCGACACCACCACCATGTCTCGCCACCACTGCCACGGCCAGGACACCGCCGAGCAGGAAAAGAAAATCACTCTGCTCCTTCATCCTTCTAGTTCTTGTGCTAGGACCAAGAAATGGCAGAACCCAACAGAAAACCCTCTGGCTAAGAGCGAGTCTGGGAGGACCTGTCTGCGGGCTATACGCCCAGCAGTACAGAGAATGGCCTCCAGGGGCACTGTGGAGCTGACAGCCTGCTCGCAGCCGCAGTCCTGACGCCTGGCAGTCCGCCTTGGAGGTGACAGGCCGTGCTTGTATTATTTCTGGACAGAAAACTCAGTATAGCGTTATGATTAAACATGAGTTTTGGCATAAAACAAGCCGGGACGTGAATTCTGGTTCAGTCACTGGCTGGCTAGCTGCGTGACCTTGGAAAGTCGACCTAATTTCTCGAAGTCTTCATCCCTCCTCTGTAAAATGGGGACAGTGTAAGTATCTAGTCGGGAGGTTTGAGCCACAAGTAAACACACCTAGCCCGGTACCTGTGAGGACCAAGAATGTTGGCTGTTATCATCATGTAGGCTTGTTTACCACTGGCTACAGTCGCAATGGGTTATTTTGTACTTTGAGAATGTCTGTTGTATTAAATATTTCTCAACAATATTTACTTTTAAAAATTACAAAAAAAGTATTATTTTTAGAGAGATTTTTGCTATAGGGCACATGTACTTGCCAGAGAGACAGAAGGCAAGAAATTACCTCCCAGGGGGGATGGCCACACCACAATCCCTTCTCCATTCTCCTCTTAGGATTCTGGGCACACATGCACACACACCAGCATGAGTTTTAAGCCACTGGGTCCGGGACTTGAACCACAGTTGACTATGTGGGAGTCCAGTAACATAACCGTTACGCCATCTACTGGCCCCATTTACTATTTTTTAAATTTGTTATAGGGCATGTGTGCTCACCAGAAAGAGAAAGAAAGGAGTGGTGGGGAGGGAGAGTGGGAAAACAAGACACCGGGTCTGGGATTCAAATCATGGTTGGCCATGTGGAAGTCCAGCGCCATAACCACTATGCCGCTTCCTGGCTTCTGCAGTGGTGTTCATTTCCATGGAATCCGACCTATGTTTAAAACAGAGTCTAAGGCCAGCATGTGCATAGAGGTTGAAATGGCTGGATCCCACATGACCGATTGTGGTTCAAGTCCCGGACCCAGTGGCTTAAAACTCATGCCGGGCGCGTGTGCATACTTGCCCAAAATCCTGAGAGGAGAATGGAGAAGGGACTACGACATGGCCCTCCCCCAGGGGTTGTATTCTCTGTCTGTCTGTCTGTCTCTGTCTCCAGTGAGTGCATGTATCATATAGCAAATTTGAAAAAAAAAGAACCTAACATGCCACAAGTTCTACATAATCTGATATCTTTTAATGATTTTATTTACTTTATTCATTCATTCATTCATTTCAATTTGACCACAGAGGGATAGAAAGAGAGAGCAAGCTGCCAGGTCTGGGACTCGAACCATAGTCAGCCATGTGGGAGTCCAGCACCCTTAACCACCAAGCCACCTTCCAGCCCCCATAGTCTGATATTTTTAATGCTGGTAAATTCACTAGTGGGTAAATTCATTTACAGTAGACAACAAAGATTGTCAATGCAAATTAACTTTTAAATAAATATATAGTATACACTTACATTTATATACTTATAATTTAAATAAATTTTAAGTCAAAATCTTAAAATTAAAATCAATATGTATCATAGCATAAAGGAACAGTGAGATGACCTTGTCAAGATGCAAGGAGGGGGCCGGCCCTGAAGGGCAGCAGTTGAGCCCTGCGCATAGAAAGCTGGACCCCTCATGACAAGCTGCAGCGTGAATCCCAGCCCTGGCGGTCTGCAAAACACAGCAGGTATGTGTATGTGAGTGCCCCAAATCCCGGTGAGATAGAGAGATGGAGGGGAAGGGATTGTGGTATGCCCATGCCCCATCAAGCGGTGCTGTTTCTCTCTCATGGAAGAAAATAAAGATAATACAGAATGGTGTGTGTGTATATACACATACATGCTGACATATTGTAGTGGACCAGCAGATGGAGTAGTGGTTACATCACTGGACTCCCACGTAGTTGACTGCAGTTTGAGTCCCAGACCCAGTGGCTTAAAACTCATGCCAGGTGTATGTACCTGCATGCCTAGAATCCCAAAAGGAGAATGGCAGAGAAGGGGTGGTCATCCCCCCGGGGGGTAATGCTTTCTGTCTCCCAGCGAGTATACATACCCGATAGCAAAAGTCTCTCTAAAATAAAAAAGTGACTTCCCTGGGAGCAGATTTACCTGATCTGAGGGCATGAAGGGAACGTGCAGGGCTCCAGATGCAAACTGCCGGACTACACGCCTTTTAGTTCTTCACACATACCCAGTCCTGCCGGGCACAGGTGGATACTGCAGCTGTACCTCCCCAACACGGGAGAACGACAGAAGCTCGTTGCCAATCTGGTGGGGAAATGGCATCTACTTATTAACATTTGTAATTCTTTGAGATCTGTGTGACGAACCTTAAGAAAAAACCTGGTACGAAGCCGGCATCCGGTGGAGTCAGTAACTGCTCTGGGGTGGGGATGTGCAGGGAGCGGAGAGGCCGAGTGGTGGCGCTAGAACCTAGCGGATGGAATGGACCAGGCTGTGCTGACGAAGCCGAGCTAAGGACTAATTTCCTAACCTCCACTGTTCAGAAGGGAGTTCTCACAGGTAAAGGGTTGCCTTTCAGTAACCCAGAGAAATCACTTTTTTTTTTTTTTAGCATGAATTGATTGGAGCTTATTTTTAAATAAGTTCGGGACTGGCCCCATGGCTTAGTGGTTTCAGGAACTGAATCCCACATGGCTAACCACTGTTCAAGTACTAGCCCTGGTGGGCTTGAAAAACCAATGGGTTTATGTGTACGTGTTTGTGTGTGTGTGTGTGTACCTGAAATCCCGACAGGGTAGAGAAAGGGAGAAGAAAGGTGATTGCACCCCATTGAGAGGTGGCGCCTCCTTCCCTCCGTCTGTCTGGCAATTACAAAATTAAGAAGTAAAATAAGTTCAGTATGCAATTAGCCAGGGTCCTTCTTGTTGTGTTTATGACATTTTATTAGTAGTGATTAATATTTTTATCCCGCTCCTGTCTCATCCCACACTTCATTCTCCATACCATCGCCAAGTAGATTTTAAAACATAAGCTGGGTCCTGTCTCTGCTGTGCCTCGAGGTTCTCTCTGCTCCCAGCTCACGTGCATGCAATCCAGAGGTTTGCACGGGGACAGAGGTCCTCTCCAGGAAGAGGGGTCAGAGAGAGCCTCTCCTTTTGGTAGGCCTGCCCTGTAAAGGCATCCCCTTGTGGAGGGTCACAGCCATTTTTTTTTCTTTTTAATAATTATTTATTTACTTTTATTTAGTACTATGTTTTAACTTGCCCAGAAAGAGGCAGAAAGTGAGAAAACTAGCCACCAGGTTCAGGACTCAAACCCTGGTCAGCCATGTAGGAGTCCAACGTCCTAACCGCCATGCCACCTGCCAGCCCCTGGAGGTCACAGTTTTAAAAAGCACTGGGTTCAGAAGCTGCATCTGTTCTAGCTCGGCGTGATAGCTCACTGCCACCCGTACCAGGGCTCAAAGAAGCTGCACCACCTCCCTCCACCTGCCTCTCCAGCGTCTTCTCTCTCCACTCCTCAGATTAGCCTCTGCGGTCCCCAGCCAAGGTCACTTCCCACCATCCCCAGTCACTCGCTCTGGATTATTGTGTTTACTGCCTTCACACTGCAATCCAAAGTTGTGGTTGCCTGGTTTGTTAATTTGCATTACTATAGGGTACGTGCACTTGCCAGAGACACACGGAGAGGGAGAGGGAAAGTGAAAAACACCCCCTTGGGGAACGGCCCAGCCACAATCCTCCCTTCTCCTCTTGGAGTTGTGGGCACAAACACGCACTCAGCGTGTCCTTCAAGCCGCCAGTCGAGGCCGCATAGACAGCCATGTGGGATCCGGCCACCTTCCCCCACAGGCCATCCACTGGCCCCAAAGTGATCTTTGTTGACTTGTTTATTGACTGTGTCCCTAGGGCGTGAACTCCATGAGATCAGGGTCCTTATCTATGGTGTCCACCCTTGCATCCCCAAGTGCTAGAACGCGGGCCTGCCATGTGGCAGACTCTTAATAAATATTGGTAAAATTAATGAATTTTTGCTACTCCTTTTTAGGGTCAGATTCCTTCCTTGAATGTTTCATGATCACATGAGCAATGACAACACCTCATTACACATTCAAAAAAAAAAAAAGAGGAAATTAGCACTAAATAAGGAGAGGCACTATATTTAATTTTCAAGACTCATACACTTTCTTTCCTCATATCCTGCTTGGGATGAGGCAACCAAGCTTTCATTTCTTTGGTCACGGGGGTTGGGAATTAGCAGAGTATTCTACTTCCCCAGGATAGAAAATCTGGCCCAGCGGGAGTAAGATGCATGGTCTTCCTGCTGTTTCCCCTGTGACCCAGAGATTTGGAATCCATTTTCCACACTTGCGTAAACACATCGGACTTCTCCCTCGTGCGGTGTTTGAGGACCCACTAAATAACTTCTGTTCCAGTCTATCCCAGCTTAGATGGTGGTTTGTCCCCCAAAGTTCCCTGTTTGGAAATCCAGTCTCAGTGGGCAGTGATTGGATCATGGAGCACAGGGGTGCTGATCTCATGGGGGAAGGAAGCGGTCTCTGTGAAGGGAGTGCGTTCTAGCTCTTGTGAGAAGTGAGTTCTTGGGAGCACTCTCCCTTCCTCCCTCCCTCTCTCACTCTTCCTCTGCAGACACCCATCACCCCCTATGCTTCTGCCAATCATGTTCCAGCCCCCAGAATCATGAATCAATTAACCTCTATTTATAAGTACTACTCGTCACATGCTGGTTAAGGCAGCTGGATCCGACAAGGCCAACTGTGCAGTTTGAGTCCCAGAACCGGTAGTTTGGAAAACACATTGGGCGCATGCACGCGCCCCGAATCCTGGAAAGAGAGAGCGCTGGGATGCAGTGTGACTATCCCCCATTTTTGTTTTCCCACACCAGGCAATTTTCCACTTCTCTGCAGAAGCCAACAGGGTGTCCCGTGATTCAGTGAAATTCTCACACTACCTGAAGGCAGTTTTACAAGACTCCCCCCTCTTCAGATGCCAGTCACCACCGGGGGGTTCCCAGGTTACCCACAACTCCTGTCCTACTTGGCTACATGTTGGAGATTCTCAGCTCCCTACTCGGGTTCCCAAATGTGCAGTTCCCAGC